GCGTGTGTGGGGGGGGGGGGGGGGGGGGGGGGGGGGGGGGTCATAATCCTGCTGCTACAGGTTGTCAGAGCACAGGACTCTCGACTGACAAAGCATGGCAATTGGCTGCAGTCCCAAAAAGGCACACACTTCAGCCAATCAGAGCAGCCCAGCTAACACCCCTCTCCCCCCCGTGCCAGAATGCTAGCTGGGGCAGGCTGCCTGCAAAGTACTCTGGCTCCCAGCATCAAATCACACCTCTTGGCACTGCTGGGAGGAAGCTCACAGCCAGTCTAGCTCTGCTGACCTCTAGGCTGTGCCAGGAAGGTGGCTTTCAGAGTCTGGGGACCCACAGGTATATACCACTCCAAGCGCTTGCATGCTGCTGGCCCACAGGCACTGGCACAGCTGCAACTATTGGCAGGAAACATTGAACGAGACCCAGTGCCATTAGTGTCTTCGGGTTTTATTAAGGTCCAGGGATCAGCAATGGCTGAGAGGTTGTTATAGTCAGGTCTGCCAGCCCGAACATGGGGCCAAGCAGGGCAGGAGCTTAAATAAGTTACAAATCAACAGTCAAAACCACTTGAAGTGCAAATAAAAAGCGCAGACGGTTGGATTTTTAGAGGCACCAGACACTTGGCTTCACAGGAGGGAGCAAGGGAAGACGGAGCTGGCCACAGCCACCGGGCACCTACCTGCAGTGTGTTCTTATTGAACAGGAAACTGCAGGCCCTGCTGTGTGGTGCTCTGATCCAGGCAGCCAGACAGGAATGCTGTGTGCTGGATGCTGGCTGGCAGGTCCCGCTGCCCTTTCCTCCCATGAGACCCACGTGTCTGGTGTTGCCCATGGCTGTAGGCTGTGTTTCTTGCTGCTGTCACTCTGCCACAGGCTTCACTTGCTTGGCCATTTCCAACTGGGTCAGTATCTCATCCCACTGGACAAACTGCTTCGACAGGAGCACAGTCTGATGGTGGCTCTTAAGGAAAACACGGTGGGGGGGGGAACCTGAGGGGCTAGGATGATCTTAGAACAGACCAGCAAGCAAAGGGGCCAGTTTGAGCACCGCTGCTCTTTAGTCATATACACAATTCTCCCACAAGGTCCCATAGGACAGGAATGGAGGCTGGGGTCCAGCCTGGGAAAAGCTATGGTGACATGCAGCAGCAGCAAGGAGCAAACTCTCAAGCCAGGTGAAGCCTAGTGCCTATACTAAGTAGACCCCATGGCCCCCCACAGAACAGGGGCTTCCAAGACAATGAGGTGATAGTGCAAACACCCATCTCCCTAGACCTCCCAGCCCAGGGATCCACTCTATCATGTGGCAATAAGGGCTTTCACCTGGACTCTGCAGGGGACAGAAGCTCAGAGTGCAATTATACCTCTGACTTAGCTCAGGCAAGCACCCGGCTACACCAGTGGTTTGTCAGCCTGGACCAGTCTTCCGCTCTGGTGAGAAGCTGGCAGAAAAGGGGGTTGAATGTAGGCTGCTCCATGGCTGTCATGAGCCCAACTCTCCCAGGCAGGTCAATCATCAGCCCAGGTGGGAGCTCTGAGATCCCCCTCACACAGACAAGGATGGAACTACACAGTGGCATCCGTGTTCAGCTTCTAAGGCAACACAGCCACACAGCTCAGCTTGTAACAGAGCAGAGGGATATGGTCCTTCAGGCCACACCCTGCTGTGCCAGGCGCTCCTGGTTCCATTTGTTGGGAACCGGAGCTAAATCTGCTGCCCCGCTACTTGACATGCTAAAGCAGCGGGGGACGACTTTTTTGGCAGGCACATCACAAATTAGCCCTGCACCCTCCCCGAGTGTCAGTGTGGTTCCTTGCCCGATCTGCTGCTCTGCTTCCTACTCCAATACCACGTACCACACACAGACTGCCTGTGTCACTTGTGGCACCGGTGTCATGGACTGGCCAACCCTGGGCTAAAGAATCCTGGTAGAGGGTGTTCCTGCTAGTTAATGACCCCAAAGTGAGGTGCCCAGCTGCCCGTGACCATGGCACCAGGTGAAGGATACCATCTTGTTGTAGTCTTCTAGGAGTGCTTTGACGTTTTCAGTGATAGCTTCACACTGGTCCTAAAGGAAGAAAGCACTTGGTAAGCAGGCAGCAATGCCAGCCTCACACTGACATGGCACTTTAGAGCATTTACCCACCCACCCCCGAAGGAAAGTTACTACCCCAGGGAAGCTGGGACAGAGAGACAGTGTCCTCTCAGGCCAGGGCCAAGAGCAAAACCCTCCAGTTCCTGGCTTCGATTTCTTTTTTTTGATCATCAAAATGTGATGACTTCTATCAACAAAAAAACACAGGCGAAGGTGCCAGAGAGCACAGGCCAGAGCAACAGAGGGGCTGAAGTGATCCAATGTCTGTCTTCCCCTCCCCACCCTCTGTACCTTGCTCCTGAGTAACAGGTGCTTTGGGCAGCAACTGTTTTGGACTCAGCAACTAACAAGGACTGCTCAAACCATCACAACTGCTATGCAGCAGTAGTGCAAAGGCCACAAGTAAGATCAGGGCCTTGATGTATATTACTAGGGAGTCACAGCCCAGTGAGCTTCCAGTGGGGAGACAGACAAACCCCAAGGGGAAAGTGAGAATGGGGAGAGACTACGATGACACTACAAAGCAAGGAACAAGGGCCCAGTGGGGGCTCAGATCAGGGTTCAAATAAACAAAAAACCCAAACAACTCCCATGCAACAATAGGCGAGTCCCAGCACTTATAGCAGGGGCAGGCAGTTATTTCAGGTGACAGGCCACTTACTGAGTTTTGGCAAGCCATCAAGGGCCGCAAGACAGGCAGCCAGCGGCAGATAAATATAAATTTTCTAAATTTTTTAGGGGCCCCGCAGGCCAGATAGAATGGCCCGGTGGGCCGCATGCAGCCCCGGGGCTGCATTTTACCCACCCCGACTTATAGTTTCATAGTTGGTAGGGTCGGAAGGGACATGAGCAGATCATCAAGTCCGACCCCCTGCCAACCAGGAAAGAATGCTGGTGTCAAACGACCCCAGCCAGGTATCTATCTAGCCTGTTTCTGAACACCCCCAGGGTAGGAGCGAGCATCACTTCCCTTGGATTTTGTGACCTGATTGTAAAAGGCCACCAGGTTGGTCTGACAGGACCTGCCCCTAATGAACCCATGCTGGTCGCCCCTAAGCATAATCTCCCCTGCTGGTCTCTTGCAGATGTGCTCCTGGATAATTTTCTCAAAGAGCTTCTCCAGGACCAAGGCAAGACTAACGGGCTTATAGTTACCTGGGTCCTCCTTCCTCCCTTTTTTGAAAATGGGGACCACAACGGCCCTTTTCCAGTCCTCTGGCACCTGGCCAGAGCAGCATGAGTGCTTGTAAAGCTGTGCCAGGGGTCCAGCAATGACCCCTGCCAATTCCCTCAGCACCCTGGCATGGAGAGCATCTGGACCTGCTGATGTGAACACATTTAGTCCCACCAGAAGTTCCCTAACTAGGTCCTCACTGACCCTAAGCCTGGCTGTGACTCTCCTTGGTCTGTCTAGAATCCTAGGGAGGGTGGGGGATGTCCCAGTCCCTGCTCTGAAAAATGGAGGCAAAGAATTGTTAAAGAGGTCAGCTCTCATCTGGTGCAACCACCAGATTGCCAAGCATGTCCTGCAGGGGACCCACGTTACCTGGTGCCGTCTTTTTATTCCCTATGTATTTAAAAAAGGACTTCTTGTTATCTTTGATCCTGGTCACTAGTTCTAGTTCCACCTCCGCCTTAGCCTTCCTACCAGCCCCCCTACAGTCTTGAAGAATGGAGGTATAATCCTATAATCAATAAACTTCTGTGCCTCAATTCTCTGCCCTGGGAAGTAGAAACACTAACCTATGTCCATTGCAGTCTAAATGGACTGATCAAGATGTTGAACCCCTGACAAGCTGAGTGTGTTCAGGTGACACACTCAGACAGGATTTCTTCCAAGTCAGTGCCAGGGCCAGGATTGAGATAAAACTGAAAACCGTAATGCAAACCAGCTAGACAGGCCATCTCCAGCTGGGCTCTTCATCCCTCATGTTTAACAGAAGCCCACCCCACCTCTCCTTTTCTGCTGAAGAGAAAGACCCTTCAACTCCCTGCAGGGGGGTTGCAAACAGGATGGAGCTAGACTGTTCTTACTGGAGGCAGACGACAGGACAAGGAGCAATGGGCTCAAGCTGCAGCAAGGGAAGTTGAGGTCAAGTTATGCAGAAAAACCTCTCTACGTATAGTGTAGTAAAGCACTGGAACAGGCTCCCCAGAGAGGTGGTGCAGTCTCCATCCTTGGAGATTTTGAAGACCCAGCTAGACAAAGCCTTGTCTGGGATGATGTAGTTGGGGCTGGTCCTGCTCTGAGCAGGGGGTTGGACTGGATGTGACCTCTGAGGTCCCTTCCAACTCTCATTGTCTGTGACTCTAAGATGGCCAAAAACATTCACTCTACCTGCTGCTGTATGTGGATTTGAGAGAGCCGCTGCAGTTTGGTCGCATGCTCAGGAACCGCTGCAAAGCAGAGAACAGGATTCAATTAGATACTCTGCATTAACATCAGTGGGATTGTTTAACCCTTATCTTGGGCTTTGCCTAACACATGTCTGCATTAGAGGGAAGCTTTTAACAGCTCACAGCAGAATAACACAGCCCATCCAGCCCTGTTTATTGCCATTTAAAGGGCTGCAAGTTAACAGAGAAACATTTTGACATTTGCTTGAGGATCAGGACAAACAGCCCCTGGTCCGCCCTCTATTGCTTCCGCAAGCTCAGTACATATATAGGAAATACGTGGAATATTTTTCATTCCTTTACCTACCGGCAGACACTGACATGGTTGTTTTTACTTTTTCCAACATAAAGTCAAGGGGTTGTTACAAAGGACATCTGTCTTGACCTCCATTTTACTCCCCCTAATAGTCAAGCTGAGAGTGCTTCTACTTCTCAGGGACAGTTACCAGCACAGAAGTACAGCATGGGCTCTAGGCCACTAGAACTCAGCCTCACCATCAAGTGATGGTACCATGGCCAAGACAGTACACTCAAACCTGTGCTACAGAGGATGGTGGCCATGCAACCAATGGCGCTGCACTGTTTTGGGCTCTGCAGCCTTCTCAGGGCTTGTCTCCAAGGGAGGGTAGGCCATAGCAGCCAAAGAGTAGCTAGTACCTGTGAATTCACTCCCTAGTAAGTCCAATATTACTAGCTCCCCAGCACTGAGGCATGCTGCTGGCTGCAAACTCTTCAGATGCTGGACCTGCTAATGCATGGATGGGTAAAATACAGACAGCAGATCCTGCTGCTCCCTGGGCATGCAGCTAGGCAGACCAGGTAGCGGTGGCTCCTTCTGACTGCTGCCATTGCTGACCCCAGCCCTGTGGTACTGGCAGGGACCCGCACATACAGCCCTGCCCGTCCCGTCCCACACCCACTCTGGACTCAGCCTGAAAGAGTGAACCAGGTCTGAACTAGCCAGAACCCGCATGCACAGCCCCAAACTGGTCCACACCTGCTCTGGACGCACCTGCCCACGCTAAGCAGTAGAGGGCTGACTGGCCTGCAGCAGCTCCCCAGAACTGCCTATGTGGCCCACAGGCCCAAATAACTGCCCATCCCTACGCTAATGGCTCCCTTTCGGTTTGACGCAGACAGCATTTCCATACCCTTTTTGGCACAAGGGCATAAAGAAGTGGATGCTGCTCAAGGCAGCTTGTAACCATAAGGCGGTTGTGGGGGAAGGGGCATTACCTTTGATGTGGGCGCTGTCCAGAAACGGCTGGAGGTTACTCACTTGTTCCAGCAGAGCTGCCTGGGACAGGATGAACTGCTCCTCTGATGGAAAGAGACATAGGAGGAATGCAGGGAAGCAAGACACTACTTGAACTTTGAGGCACAAGGAAAAAAGGAGTCGCAGTGACTTTCTTTCCCCTTTCCTCCAAGCAAATTGCACGTAAATCCTTTAAGCAAAGTGACGCTTGTTACCCGAGCACCTTTCAGGAAGCAAAGGCCACTAACTGAAAACTTCAGCACACTGGGGGGGGGGGGGGGG